GTGCAAATTAGTCATTGAGGGTTGTATTGCATTAAGACCGCAACCAATGACAGTGAGTGGCCGATTGTTTTCTTCTCAACCTTTTCTGAAATTAGTTCCATGTGCAGATGCCAGGAGGATTCTTACATCACAGGATTGGCAGCTGAGAAAGTTATTCTTGCAGCAGTGGATTGACTGCTGCTGATGATAATGATGATAATGATCTGATTGATTTATATTGTTGGCTGTTCTTTTTATCCATTCTTCATGGCTACCTTTTGCTTCCAAGATCCTCTTTGCCACCTTAAGAGGCTTTAGGGACCGCTCGCAATGGACAGCATCGTTAATCTGCGGCTCAAGTCCTCGGAAATGTGGAACGGGCCCAAAAAACATATTTGCTCAAAGCATTGATCCCAGCCGAGGTTTAAAATAACTCAATTTCTGCGTGGCGTCGGCGTGAATTCATCATTGAACAATTGCTTAGAGCAGCCGGCAGTGTTTACACGCGGCGAATTTGATGACACCCGGCGCAATTTACCAAGACAAAGAAAACACGCTTAATTAACTGGCGTTGTTTGCACGTCGAGGCACGCAGTCACAATTAATGTAATGCATCGCGTGCCACTTCTTAAAATAAGTTACGTTGTTACGTCTTTTGCAAAATAAAAATACGATTTTTTTTTCCTTCTGTTTTTTTCTTTGACCAGTAGCAGGTTAAAAAAGGGTTGGGGGGGGGGCTTAGTTGTGGTGATCTACGGTAGTGGGTTTGCTTGATGGCAGGGCATTGGTCCCTTTCTCCAAGAGCAATCAATACACACTCGCTTAAATGCATTAGAGCTTCAGCAGGCGAGAGACTGATGGTTTTGTTCCCGAGCCCAGCGCCGAGTGGCTGAGCCGCAGCGTGGGTCGTATAGGGTATTAGTGTGCCGTTTTGGAGCGATGTTGCACGCGATGTTTGCGTGCGAGTGCCCGTTTTCTATGTGTGTGTGTGTGCGCATGTGCGTGCTCTCTGGCCTGGGTTCGTGTGCTCGTCTTCGCACGCTTTTTGGGGAACCATGTGCCCCTGTTCCATCAGAGTGACCCTGTTCCCAAGCAGTTAATATGTGTATGTATATGCACATGTTGAAATGTACTCACGTGTGTGTGTGTGTGAGATCGGCTTTTTGCGGTTAGCGCGCTTTGCTACGCACCCAGCGACCCAAGTTTGATTCCTGCTCACGGCCACCAACAGCAGTGACGATTAACTGAACCGGCAATTGGCCTGGTGTTGGCCAACCCACCCCCTCGTGTACCGTGCCAGCCTTCGTAGGTGCTCGCTAACAGCACTTGCCCCAACAGTCTGTTCAGGCTCTCCAGGGGATCTTTGTCTTTTGTGCACACGCATTCGATTCCTGGCCACGGCAAACAGAGGTGATTATCTAAACTGGTCCTTCCCGAGATCAACTCAACCTTACGTGCCTACTTGGTATGGTGTGTCAACGATCAGAACTCGAGAGATAAAGGCAGCTGAGCACGATGCTGGCCACCTAATCCCCTTGCATGCTGTGCCTGCCTCCGTAAATGATCGTGAACAACACTTTCCCCAGCAGCTTTGTGTAGGTTGAATCGGGGGATCTTTGTCTTTGTGTGTGTTTGTGACTATGTAAATTTGTATATCGGGCTACATCGGTGTTGCGAGGACTTTCTCAGCGGGAGATATTTTATACTGTTGGTGTACAACAATTTCTAATGCCTTTAGGTGATAATACAGATACACGTTGTTGTTGTGTAGTGCCTGCAGTTTTGTGGAGCAGTGTTGTCAGAGTGCAGCAGGTTACATTCCAGGTTCATCTGCGTTCAATTCCTGGTGTTGCATATCAGTTATTATTCAGAATCGGAATATTTACGTATGCTGGAGGAATCCAATGAGCTTTCAAGCTCTTTTTCATAGATTTCCAGTCGGGGCAGTTCAGAACGTTACAAACAACAAGCAATAAAAAACCACAATAGGAGTGCAAAGTATAGGAAAGCTAAACATAATCACTTTTAAAATATATATATAAATAAAACTAAACCAGGTAAAGCCCAAATGAGCTATTTGCTTCTTTTCAGAAGGGAGCTGGCTGCAAATGATAGCTCAATGAAGTGGCTTATCACGTGAAAATTTATATCGGCAAAAATATTCTCAATGCACGTTTCTAAATATTGTCTGAACCATTCCTCCTAAGTCAACTCAACCAGACATTTTAATGCTGTGGGGTGAACCTTGACTCAGACGAGACAAGGTGGAGTGCAGATCCCACAAACCCCTTGTGTGCCACGGCAGCCTCCATAGGTCTTCACTAACAGAACTTGCCTCAACTGCCCGTAACACTGAATGGGGAGACATTCATCTCTTTCGTCCGCGTTGCGTTGCCTTAGTAGGTATCGCACCACAATCGTAAATTCCTGCAGCGGGGGCCCCCCTCTTAAATTGCGTGATTATAAAAAACACAAAAAATTACTCATTCTATTTTATTTCAGATTTATATAGCGCCCATTCATCAATAACACTGCCTTAAAAGGAATTTGTTTTATAAAATACAGGCGATTTTTCCGGCAATGACCCTTCTTCGAAGCAACAGCTGCGGATTGAGTTCTTTGTTGTGCTCGTGCACCACCGGCCAACGCGCGCAGCATCACCAATTAATTCATTTGACTCTAGAATTGAGCAGCAAGCGCCAATTTCTGGCTCAAAAATGTGCGCAATCCGCTCGTCTGGCAATGCTAGGCAGGTTATGATTCTGACACCCACTCAGCTTTGTTGTGCCGTGGTGACTGTAATCGCAGCTGCAGCAGGAGGTGGCTGACCAGGCTGATGGGGATTTGTGTGTGTGTGTGTGCGTTACATCGTTTTAGGTCTGCGATGTGTTTGCGTGTTGTACAGAATGTTGGGGAGCGGTAGTGTAGCTACCTGGCTCCCCGAGTTTGATTCCCACTCACGGCCAACATCAGTGACAATTATCTGAACCGGTCCTGGGCCTTCCCTTGGTCGAGTCGGCCTCAAGTGAGTACCTGGTGCGGTGTGTAAACATCGCCACTAGGAAGACAAAGGCGGCCGGGCATGGTGCTGGCCACACACCCCCTCGTGTGCCGTTCTGGCCTTCATAGGTGCTCGCTAACAGCACTTGCCCTGACAGTCTGTTAAGGCTACATGGGGGATCTTTGTCTTTGTACCATGTGTTGTATCACGTGTTGTTCGCCGTCTTTGTTGCTCCACGTGCTTGAAGATTCATGCAGTGTCGTTTGGGAGCGATATTCCCCACATCGTCTTCACGGTTTCGCTTCTGGGGAGCTTAGTGTGGGGCTGAATCGTCGGACATCGTGCCGAACGGCACGCGATTTAACCCCTAAGCACAGGAGAGCTTTACGGTGCGACCATGAAAACCGACTCAATAGTAGCAACTCCTTCATCTTTATTGCCAAATGAAGCACGGTGATTGTGTGCAAACTGTTGACTGATTGACCTTTATTTAAGCAGGTGGATTTGGTTGAGTTTTGTTCTTGTTTTTACAATGGGAAATTGTGTAAATACGGTTACCAAAAAACCGTTAACGTGCGCGTTTTACTGTCGACTTGCGGGTAAGACTTTGGACTTGGTTTAAAAAAAAAACTCAACACATCCGTCTGATTAGATAGTGGCCTATAGATAGTAACCTATTCTTACAAATGGTAATGATGTGAAAAGGTATTTTATATCCACTTCATAGCACAGGGTATATAATAGAGCTGTGTGTGGAGCAGTGACGCAGTGGTGAGTGTACAGCACTATGAACCTGGCTACTTGAGTTCCATTTCCAGCTACAGCTTACATGAGTGTATGTATGTATGTTTAACTTCTTTCGCACCATACAAAGCCAACCGTGCTTGTTGGGGATGAAAGGAAAGGACAACAAACGAAACAGCAAAAGCAGTTCTTGAGAAATTAGTTTACAATCCAGATTTAAAAGTGCATAGCTCTATTAGCTTCCTAATATCGGAAGGATGATCGTTACAGACGGCCACAGAAGCGCATCTGAAAGCGCGCGATTCAGTGACTGTCTTTGTGCAATTGCTAGCCAAAAGCCGCCGCGAGGATGACCGGAGTTTGCGTGGTGGTTTATGCTCCTTGATGAGATCAGCAAGGTACTGTGGTTCATTTGTGGCAAGCACTTTGTGTCTAATGAGTGCGACCTTATAATGTATTTGTTCGTCAACTGGATGCCAATGCAGCTCGGTGAGCACTGGATCGATATGGTCAGAAAAGTAGCATCCTAATATTCGAAGGAAAAGCATTCCAGACGGCCACAGAAATGCATCTGAAAGCACGCAATGCAGTGACTGTCTTTGTTCGTGTGGTGAGTGATATCTGAACCGGTCCTGACTCCTCTCCCCCGCCTTTCACCAACCAGCACTGACATTGGACTGTAGATTACATGTAACAGCACACGACATATAAATCGCCATAAAAAATTAAACTATCACGCGGAAGAAATGTAAACTGGGCCATTGTCGAGCACACCGACCACGGGTTGAAGGCGGTACCCTTGCAGACTTATGGTGGCGTTGTGCACACTCCTCCATTCATCCCATTGTCGCCGGTGCAGTGCACGTTTACTTACACGTGGAACGGTAATTGATTTCACGGGTAATTTTGGTCTCGTTAAACCTGACGTGACCGTATTTAAGAAGATGACAATCTGACAAAATAGTAATTTAAGACTCTATTTGAAAACTTTAAACTTTGCGCACTTAAATATTTCATTAATAAATTTCGGTAATTAGATGTTTTTACTTTTGCTGCCATTGTTTGAGGACAGTTCATTTTGGCTGCACCGCATTTGCGAGAAATCGTTGGCATCGGCTCTTACCGCTTTTTTAATGACTGCGCCAGGCTGGCAATTCACTTGATATTCCAGGTTTCGGTGCGGTGCAGTACATCAATCATCGCGCGGTGTCGTGCTGCCAGCAGCAGCGCTGATTGCCATCTCTTTCTCTTTTTTTCTTTCTTTCCCTCCCTCCAGGTACTGGCAGATGCGGTGGCTCGATTGATCCAGGACAAGTTTGGCGAGCTAACCGACAATTTCACGTCGCCCAACGCTCGCCGGAAAGTGCTGGCTGGCATCGTCATGACTGCAGGTGGCCGGGGCGTGTTCGCTTGGTGGGGGAGGGCTTTGGGGCAATAGAAAAGTGGAGTGAGAAGGAAGCAAAAAAAAAACAGCAAAGCTTCTCCCGTATTCCCTCTAACTCATGAAAAGGCACTTATTACGTTGTCATCGCTGCAGCTGCTGAGTTTAATTATTGCCGTCTGCTTTTTGGATTGCATCTCGGCTTTTTGGGCACGGCTCCGAAGTAGAGTAGAAAGGCGCCGGGAAAGTTTGCGCACGAACATAACGTGCAAGTGCAGTCTTGCAAACGCAATCCCACAACACAATTGTGTTTAGTCAGTGAGCGGGAGCGGGGGTGGGTTGGTGGTGGGTTGGCAGCACATAGGTTTGAGCAATGCGCCTTGAACCCAGCAACCCGAGTTTGATTCCTAGCCATGCCTAAAGTCAGTGGCGAGTGATATCTACAGCATTCTTGGATCCCTGCTGCACCAACGTACATTGTCCATTGTGGTCAAACGTGGTAAGAAATAAGTATAACCCGTAAAAACAAAGTTTTTCACTATAAATCCTTTATATGCGTGGCAGCGAACTTAATATAAAGGATTTAAAAATATATTCGCCTTTGGAGGACGCGTGGATCGATCCCGCGACCTTTGGCATGGGAAGCGAGGGCGCTACCAACTGCGCTACTCCGCCACGGCCTGTGGAGGGGTTACGCTCTTGGCTCTTACACTCTGACGTTCAGCCAAAGCCATGAATTAATTCTATTTGAATATATGTAAAATAAATTTTTTTTGCCTAAAAAGTGTAAAATTTTGGGAATTTTTTTTCACGAACAATAATTGTCTGGCACAACGAGTCTGTGTGGAAAATGTCAGCTCGATTGGATCACGGGAAGTGGGTTAAAAACGACCGAAAGATTTGCATGGTCCTAAGCAAGCAAGCAAGCACGCGAACTTAATATAAAGGATTTAAAAAGCCCCTGACTGACACAATGTGGAGGGGACTTCATCCAGCAGTCAAAATTTTTCTCTTATGAATAACTAGCTGTACTACCCGGCTTCGCCCGGGACTTCGATTCACCACGCCCGGCCACCTTTGTCTCCCTAGTGGCGATGTTCACACACCACACCATGTACTGATTTGAGGCTGAGTCGACCTAGGGGAGGCCCAGGACCGGTTCAAATAATCGTCGCTGGTGGTCGCCGTGAGCGGGAATCGAACTCGGGTCGCCGGTTTTGTAGCGCAGCTACAATGCGTTACGCTTCCACATGCGCGGGTCACGTGACAGATTTGACATCACAGCTCACTTGCCGTGCAAAGAATCAATGCATTATTGAGCTCCCCCCCCCCAAAAAAAAACACAAGTGTATTTTAATAACTTTTGCATGGTATACAGTCTGGAAAGTACCCACATGGCAAATTTCAAGTTTGTTGCATGTCGGGAAGTACGCTAAACATTTTGAACAGACACACATAATCACAACTTTGCCTTTTATATATATGGAGAAGTACATTGCTATGTGTGGAGATGGATAAAAATGCATTTTAAATGTAGTGTCATCATGCATGCCATTGCTGGGTTCAACAGTAAGAATCATGAATTTGCTTAATAATTTTAATGCATTTAGAGACAGCCGAATGTTTTGTTTTATATAGGGTCGTTCATGCAAATTGCACGTCTCAATCGCTGAGGATCAGCTGGAAGGAGGCCAGGCAGTGAGCCGTCGATAACAATTGCCCAAGCTCTGCAGTCCTCTATATATTAAGATCCGTTTAACACCTAGTAGGCTTTCGCGACCAATATTTTTGCATGAAAAGTTTTTTTGGGTTACATCGCGTAAATATAAATGTGTCGTTAACAGGCCACCATCCGACACAGCCAAATAGTGAGATTTGTCACGTCAACAAAACGTGCCAATTAGTTATTACTTCAGCACACATGTTGTGTTGAAGAGTAAACCCACAACATTTACATTTTGAGTACGACGTTTCACCGGATGATTACAACCAACTTTATCAGGCAATTTTGCAGAATTGTGAACAAGGCTTACTGTTTTCGGTCTTAAATAGAGGGAAAGTAACGTCCTCACTGTGAGACTATCAGATTTGTTTCAGAGGGAAACACTGTCCTATATGGACGACAGATATTAGTTTGCACTTGGCTTGCCACATTCTCACGCTATGGCACCTTGATGCCCACGGGAAGAGAGTTGTGCGAATGGTCCACCAGTCCTCGCCTCCACAGTGTGCCACGTGCATAGCCACCACCGCACGACAACATCCCACTTTAAATAGAATCTCATTTTGCAGGAAATGATTGGGTTCAAAAAAGCAAGGAGAGCAGGAATGTGGAAGTGACAATATATGAAGACAATCAAAATATTGAAATAAAATGGTCGCAAATATATTTATAGCGTATAATAATGAAACATTATCACTTGAGGCTGAAAATCGACATGGTGGTTTATTGTCGTAAGGAAAAATGGCGTACCGAAATATGAATGTTTAACCCCAGACTACCTTTTATGCCACTTATGGCAATGATCGCACAATTGTAATCTGTTAATTCTCACATTTTGTTTCTTTTCTACCCAAATGAACAAGAAACGTTTCAGTTGACATGCTTACGAGTGCCGTTGGCCTTTTTCCTCAACCACAAATGATGAAACTTGTAAAATAGTCGACGATGTTTTACTTAAGAAGGTAAGGGCGCATTATGTGAGTCTTACATTTCTCCAGGTGTGGTCTTCCAGTTATGGCCCCAAGTTACCTGTTTCACCACTGCTCACATGGTGAAAACTTGACAGAAGTCATGCGTAGCAAAAGCTTGAGGGTAGAAATGCTCAAAACAAGGCCTAACGCTCGGTAACCACATTTGGATTACGAGTGACTGCGGAACACCTACACGATACATTTCTCTGTCGATGTTATAAAGGAGCACAGAATACAGATACTCTCCTCGCAGCACCAACGCTTGCTCGCCCTGAACACTCTAAATGTCGACGGGCTAACGGCAGTCTCGGCAAGAACGGGTTACGTGCCGATTGGCCCCGCCGAACCGTTAACGTCGCGAGTAATCAGAGGGTCATTACTCCTGGGGCTCGGCTCCGAATAATGATTTATTTACGAACGTGCGCTCCGCTCGACTTATTTGCGCAGTCAGCGGCTGCCGGGCTTTTGCAAGCACCGCCACCACCACCACCACCATGCGCATTGCCCTCCGGTGACGTCATTTTTGCGGAGGTAAATGCGGGGCAAGTGACGCTCAATCAAAGAGCGGCCATGGTAAGGCTGGTTTCACTTACGGCCGTCCTCCCGTAAAATGTAGGGGGAAATTGAATTATTGACGCTTGCCGTTTCACTCTTGCACGCAGGGCCTCTTGGTCAGGTGTAAAGAATTGACAACTGCGGCAGCTGTGAAACGATAGGTGGCGGTCGTAAAAAGCAAGTCTGTAATTTGGCCCTGTTTGTCTTTTATAGTGTTGGCGATGCATGTAGCTCATTCATTACAGTGAAATATCGCACTAAGCAGGACCTGTCACTTACAATACGTGGTTCTGCCTGCACCGACGTCCTCCATTTAATATTTTAAAAGAAGTTTCAAGGGATATATTTCAAGGTCCTTTTTTTTTGTTTTATGAACAACGGATGAGGTCCAAAAATATAATAGTTGCGCATTTCGAACGCGATTTGCATTGTGGAAAACAAAAATGTTGCTGCAGATGTTATGCAAGTCGGGGATCGGGTGACTGTGCGTCCGTAGCAACTCGATTAATCTTTCTGCATGAACAAATGTTATCCCCTCCTTTTTAACATTCAACAAAGAGCTGCGCTTGTGTGTCTTGTTTGGTTGTCGAAGAGAAAGACTTTGGCCATGAGCGGCCTGCATTTTGTCTAGCATTCTAAATTTAATACGTTACAGGATTCTTTGTAATTGGGATAGACATATAGATGTAAATGCGAGTGTATTTATACGGTTTCTTTGAAAACTAAAAGTCAAAGGGAATTGAATATAATGCTAGACTTAAATGTCATTATTTTTCATTCCGGTGGAATATATCAGACGCTAATCATAACAAGCTTTATTTTTTGCCTCGTGACAAAAGATTAATCGGTCTTCATTATTTTATTTCCTTGTTGCAAAAGCCTTTTCATACACACAAAAACTACTGTAAGTAGATGCAGGCTCTGCACACATACATATATGTGTGCCGTTGCTGAACAACGCTCACGCAAAACTGACGTGTAGGATATATAATGTGACTCTGTCAGGTGACGCGCAAGGTTTTAAGTTGACTTTACGCTGCAGAATCTGGACAGAAATTTTGCCCGCTTGGCGCGTCACGAAGACCAACGGTAGGTTTCTGAACACCGCCTGACAGATTTGGCTAGAATGCAGTACTGGTAAACTTGCTGGTGTTAGGCAGATTCTGGGCATACCTCTTGTCGAGACTTTTTCCGGAGTTATTGGCTGCCAAGCTTACCATGGAGGGTTTTGATCACGGCGCTCATCTTTAAGATTCACGACCTCTGCGTTAATAGACTTCACGTATGACTGTACTTCAGTCGGTGCATATTAACTGCCGTGACATATGGATCTGAAGTGTGAGCACTGACAAAATGGCGCAAAGCCTTAAATGGGTACAAAGAAGCGTGGAGAAGTATACGTGAGGAATTATGCTGAGAGAGAGAAAGATAAATGCGTGGATCGGAGAAAAAATGCAGGTTAGAGACGTCATGTTGAAAATAGGAAGTGGTCTGGGGCCGGGCAAGAAGGGTAGAAACTATTAAAACTATAAACTAAACTTTTTATTTATACCAGGTAAGGCCCACCGAGCTATTTAGCTCTCTTTCAGAAGCGCCGTGGCCACAAATGATAGCTCAACGAAGTGGCTTGTCACGTGGAAATTTATAGCAGCCAAATACTTGACATGCACGTTGATTCTAAATGTGAAGGGAAAAATCGGAGGACCCCGAGAAAAATCATGCGACCACAGGGAGAATATCCAAATTCCAAATATATAGGTGTCAGAATTGGGATCGAACCCACAACCTGCTGTATACCTGGCGAGGTATTTAAAATCTCGCCACCATGGTGGGCTTGTCTTACTCGCCAGTGGTCGAGACGAATAACCGAGTGGCAGCCAAAAGAGGAAAGATGCTTGACAGTGTGTGATAAGATATCCCATAGTGATAAATGCACTTCTGCAATGCTGGTGATCCAGGTTGAAATCCTGACCACGATGCTCAACAGGAATAGGAATTGGCCTCGGCCTCACCTGTGTAAAGTTTTGTCAAACACGAGTACACTACCGATCCCGCACCTCTGAATCCGATTAACATGGTTGGCTAAGTACGGGGCGAAAGAAGTTCAACATACATACACTACCTGGTGTGGTTCTGTGAACATTAGCAATGGGGAGACAGGTGTGCATGGCCACATCCACCCCACCAGGCCCCAGTCTTCATTTTTGCTCACCTACAGATACTTATCTTTACGTGATCTTTAAGGGAGTGCATATCTATCCTCTTTGCTGTGATGCCCAGCAGCAATATAAAATACGATAAACACACACGTGATAGAGCAACAGCTAACACGTCGTGACATCGTGAGTGATGGATATAACATCTGTTGATGTCGTAGAAAGGCTAGAAAGCTGACATTTGACACAAATACTCATAAAGGCTATGCTGAAAGCTATATAAATCTGAGAAACCCCCCCCCCCCCATCATTTTTCAATGTGGACTCAATGTTTTAAAGGTCAGCCTTAAGTTCTGCATTTAAGTTTCGTGAACACGTGCAAAACATACCATCCCCATCATCAGTGAAATAATTATTCCGCCTAGCGCGGAGTGTGACACTGAAGCCGATGGAAAGCGAACGAAGCCGTTTAATCGTGTAACATATTGCTGTTGGTTGCTCTTGGGCGCGCCGTTGACGCGTTGTCACACGTTCCAAGACGAGCGCTCGGTGGTGGCCCCATGGACTACGAGCGGGCAAGGGTTAGTGGGGTTTTGGGGCAGGGTGGTGAGGAAAACATTGACGAATTGCATGTGGGGGAGAAAACATCATAGCTTCGTGCCCCAGCAACGAAAGGAGTTGTCTCAGCGCACATCATGCTGTAAGTACCGCCGCGATGCAGACGGATTGATTCGAGCTTCCCTTACTCACCAGCTGGAAGGCGCGTCACTCTGAATGTGAAATGAAGCTCGCCCCTTGGTATGCCGGCGTACCGCCTGCGCATTCATCAATGATTAAAAGCCATCGCTGCTCGTCATTGATTGATGGTGATAGATGGCACCCTGGCGAGACCGGAGCTTATTGAGTGCGTTATGTATCGCTGCTTTGCTCGCTGTGGTTCAACGGAAATGCCAGACTTGAATTCAAGGGGGTCGTTGTGGGCGGTGCTGTTGAAAATACAACCAACGGCTCACCATCACTTCCTTCCTTCTGCCAGATCCATTAGCCGTCGTACAGCAGGCACACAACCTGGATTGTCTACATGAGCGCCACCCTGTCTTCCACCCTGTCCTCTTGATCCTGCACACATCCCACCCATTGCATCCAGCCCCTACTTCCTCATTACATCTTTCAACACTTTCATTCTGAATGTTGACATTGCTTTCCTTAGCCTCCCATGCAATTATATAGCGTGTCATCTTCTTGGTTCTTTCGGTAAAGTCACGTAGACTTTACCGAAAGAACCAAGAAGATGAATCCCTGCAGTCACGAAAGCTTTAAATCGAAATATATAGCGTGTTTTACATTACATATGCTTATGTTCCATGCCGGGGCCATATCAATATTCAAACATGTTTTATTTTGCTTATGGTGCTTTCCCCCTAGCTTAGCAAAAATTGCAAGGTAGTGCAATGTGAAATTTAGCAGACGTCAAGTTGACGTCTTGTTCTACAGGAATTAATTTAGGCACGATGCGCTCGCTGTGTGGCATATATGTGAGTGTTCATGAGTTTATTTAGACTTTTTTTTTCCCCCCCAAACATCAAAACATTTGGTTTTCAAAAAGAGCAGTTCGCTGGTTAATTAATGGCATCTGATCTCCATAGAGTCTTTAAAGAAAGGGTAGAAAATCAAGGGTGTCATGCCGGTGGATCGTAATTACCTTTTAGAAGCAGTTCCCCGTGTGAAGGCCGTGTTAAGTGAACAGTGCGGTGCGTTTGTCGGATTGATAAAAACTGCTTAAAGACACAGCGTCTTTGGCACTTTAAAATTAATTTTGTCACACCGCTGCCGCTCCTCGCCGCCTTTAATTCCATTGCAGTGGTGTAATGTGCGTTTTCCTCTTTGACGTTCAGTGACTACGTCTGTGTGTGTGTCTGTGTGTTTCTTGTCTGCACCTCTCCCTTCTCTTTTGCCCACCCGCAATGCACACGAGGGGGATATGTTTGTATACCCTTGTATCTGTCTGTGTGCGCACACACACATGCACACATGTTTGTTTGTGTATGCCTGTATGTATGTGTGTGCTTGCTTCCATGTGTTTGTTTCCTCTCCTGTATGTGCGCATGCGTGCGTGTTCGTGTATGCAGCGTGTGTGTATGCATGCGTGCCTGTGCTTATATGTGTGCATATCCTCCCATGTGTGTGCGCGTGCATGTTGCTTGCATGTATGTGCGCGCGCGCTCGTCCGCTTGTGTGTGCAGGCCCGGATGTGAAGGACGCACGTGTGATCTCAGTTTCGACGGGCACCAAGTGCATCAACGGCGAGTACATGAGTGACCGCGGACTGGCCCTCAACGACTGCCACGCCGAGATCGTGTCGCGTCGCTGCCTTCTGCGCTTCCTCTACTCGCAACTCGAGATGCTCGCCGGGTGAGGCGAGCGAGGCGGGGGTTGCTGTGATGTGGGCGTGCGTGACGGGTGGGCTGGTTGTGGTGAAGGGGCCCGCACGCGTGCGTGTGTCAGGCTGCTCTCGCTGGTTAAGAGCGCGTGTGCAAGAGTTTAGTTCGAGGCACGAGTTTGTGGACTGGTGGGTTGAGAACATGCCGAAGGGTGTGTTCATAGCTGTTGGCATGTGTGTGGGTTTGTTGGTAGTGTCAAAGTGTGTGTTGGATTACTCGGTTGGAATACACTCGGCAATCGTTGCCCACCTGCTTCGAAAACTTGGCAGGACCCTCCTGAAAGAGAGTCCTGAGCCTCAGGCTTTCCTAGGTAAAGAAGCTTAATAATGAAAGTGATCATGTAGAATGGTATGTTCGTGGTGAGGAATATAGGCAAAAGGAGGTTGAATCTCTGGAAGAGAACAGTCAGAATACGCCAGGGTCAAAAATGTGTGATGCCTTATCTCAATTGATTTAAAGCTTTCGTGACTGCAGGGATTCATCTTCTTGTTTCTTTCGGTAAAGTCACGTAGAAGGGAAGTAATAAAATAATAAAAATAAAACATAATAAAACAATTCTCACGACGTTTCGGCTACAACGCAAGCAGCCGTCTTCAGGTGAAGAAGCCGTCTTCACCTGAAGACGGCTGCTTGCGTTGTAGCCGAAACGTCGTGAGAATTGTTTTATTATGTTTTATTTTTATTATTTTATTACTTCCCTTCTACGTGACTTTACCGAAAGAAACAAGAAGATTATCTCAATTGGTTAGCCTAAGCCAATTGTGTGAATTCCACCTTCCTACGGTGGTGAGCACTTCTCCCTGGAAGGATAAATCAGCGCTTCTTCAGGTTGTGCAGCATGGCAGCAATTTATCAAAACGTTGTAGCCTCGTTGAGAGTCGCGTTCATCACTGATCCATACAACACAGAGTCAGCAGTTTGATTTGTGCCGTTTGAGTTATTTATGCAGGAAATGATCAAAGTCTTCCCACTGGTATTGTGCAGAAGGCGGCATGTAACGAGTCACCCCCTCCTCCCCCATCCATCTTCAGGATTGGATGATTTGTTAATATTTTGTTTTTCTGGTTTCACCCGCCACGCTCGCAAATTAAGAAACCGAGCTCTTTTCCCGAGTTTCACTACTATCCAGGTCTCATCAAATAATTACTCTCACGCATTAATGGGCTCCTGCAAATGGAGTGTGGGTGTCAGTGTCACCGTCTAGACAGCACTGCTGCCCTCCAACGACCTTCTCTTGCTCGAGTGTTGTGCATGTGGAGGCCACTCATAGTTGGTGTGGGTCCACTGGTCACCAGATTGTAAGTAGGTGGTTGTGTGTGAGTGTCACAGGTTACGTGACATACATTGTGCACATGCAGCCTAGTTGTCATTTAATTGCTCGATGAGAAGCCTCCCCATTCATTGCAGGCAGTGAGGGTTCTTTGACCATACTTCACCACGCTGGTCAGTGCGTGTTTGTGTCAGTGAGGTTGGTACAGAACTGTGGGTTTTGCTGTACAACACCTGCGACACCAGTTTTATGCATGCTGGTCACCCATCCAAGCACTATCCAGGTTCAACACTGCCTAGCTTCCAAGGTCTAATGGGACTGAGTGCATTCTGGGTGATATGGTCATATGCATGCATAATCATATCTAATATCTACTATAAAAGCTCCACATTTTATCCTGTGCAAATCTCAGTGGGCCTTACCTGGTTACATCAATGACATTCAAATCGAGTATGCACGTCAGACAATTATTTGCAGACCCCTCTGAGTTTGCTGCGGCTCACCGCATTAACACGATATTTTTGCAAGGTTTGCATGTGGTTTCTCAGCAGAAGGCAGACAACTGCAGATAATCCGACATGAGCTGTTTTTAAAGTCTGCATTTGCACATGATATTTGCAAAGTGCATAATACATCATATCCCTCTGGCTTGTGACGTTTGACCATTTTATCTTGCATGCCGTACAGATCTTTTCAGGGATTGCCGCTTGATTAGTTTATTCATGTTTTAATGCTCATCTTCCTGGTCTCACAAACTCACACGCACACAATTATTTATCAATTGTGCTTATAATGGCATCATGTCCCAAGATGCAGATATGTCCATTTGGAACTCTCACAGAGGATTGCCTTCTTTACTATTGAGAGCTACTTCTGAGTTCTCTCCACATGTCCTTTTAACCTTTTGCCATTCCGATGATGTACCTGCACATTATCAGAAGAAAATAAACTAAAGAAATACTACAGTAAAATAATGATGACGGACGCTTGTGTTGTGCCCGAAATGTGATTAAATTTATTTTATTTTTTATACCTACGTGACTTCACCGAAAGAACCAAAGAGTACTAAAGTAAAATAACTATCGGTACCGAGGCTCCCACAAGGCCACGCGGGAGGGCGTGTGGGCGCCAGCTATGGTAGAGTGCGGTCGCGACGCTACTATTCTCTGTGGTGAGTGCAATGTCTTTAAACACGTTCCTTCGGAGTGGGCAGGTAGGAACTTGGTTGGACAGTGCATTCGTGCAAGGCAGACAGAAAAATAAATCCTGGTGGGCAGTGTGGAACCTGTTGTTCCTACCTGTATAAGTGTAGGGTATCGTGTCGTGTATAGTGTAGTGTGTTGGTTAAACATTGAGTTTTATAAGGGCACCACGGGGTGACCAGCCCCTCCCCACCCAGCCCCTCCCCACCCAGCCCCACCCCTCCCACCCCCCACTCAGCCAGCCCCTCCCCACCCAGCCCCACCCAGCCCCACCCTCCCCACCCTCTCCTCCCCACCCAGCCCCACCTTCCCCACCCAGCCCCTCCCCACCCAGCCCCTCCCTCCCCACCCAGCCCCTCCCCACCCAGCCCCACCCCTCCCACCCCCCACCCTTCCCATATGTACAACAGACAGACAAATAATCCCTGGTGGGCAGTGTGGAACCTGTTGTTCCTACCTGTAAAACAACGGCTCTACGCCTCTCTAGATTCAGAGGTGAACGGGACACCCACCCTGCAACTTGCAGGTGTCTCGGAACGGGAAAGAATGGGTTAACTTCACAAGGAGCCGCATTCTGCTCGTCAAGGAATCCGTCGTGTGCCAGTCAAACCGGAATGATTATTTATTTCTTTCTTAATTCTCAGAGCTGGAACTTGACAAAAAATGTATGTCATTATGTGTATGTCACAATGCTGTGTGTTTTATATGTTTGGCAATGCTACTGCCACTTGTTTTAGGGTTTATGAATGGTGTGCAGGCTACGACCTAGTTTACATTTTACGAGTGTCGTGCATGCAATATGTCCCCGATTAGAATCAAACCATCTATCTCTTTACTTGTTAGGATTGTTTTGAAACATATTTCAGTGCAAATTGCTTTCTAAAAAAAAAATATTTTTATGAATTTGTTTTTTATGGGTGATATGGAGGGTGAGGTGGGTGTTGAGTGGAGTGTCTTGCTGGGGAGAAGTGGAGAGAGGTGTGGGTTGTGTATTGATGGGAGGCGGGTGAGTGGTTGTGATGTGAAGGGGTTGGGTGGTAAGTATGCCGAGGTGCTTTCATTATGTGCTTTACAAAGACGGTCACTACGTCGCGCCAGAGGTCGCAAACGGGTTTTGATTCCTTACCCGTACCCGGTTGCACCAGGGTCGCAAACGGGTACCCGTACCCGGCCGGCCGGGTACGGGTAGCCGGGTATCGGGTAGGGTACGGGTATCGGGTACCCGGTTGCGACCTCTGCATCGCGCGCTTTCAGATGCCCTCTTGCAGTCGTGTGGAACACTCTTCCGATATTAGGAAGCCACTGGAGCTATTGCCTTTAAATAATTTAGATTGAATACTCATTTATTTAGAATAACTTTTTTGTGTTTAGGTGTCCTTCCCCCACACCTATTAGCACGGTATTCTACATACACTGAAAAAAGTTCAACATGCAATATCTTACCTATAAATGACATTTTTTGTCTGTGTGTGTGTGGACACACCTTGTGACCCATTTAACTCACAAACTGCTGGGTTTACATTTCAACAAACTACACACGTACGACACAAAAAGCCCCCGACCGACAAATCGATATTTCTTTTTCCCATCAGACAAATGTAAAGTAGTTAAATTAACAATGTATTACTATTATAAGCAGTTCCTTTTATAAGCAGAGGGTGGCGCCAAAGTACGCATATGCACATGCGCGAGAACTGACTCGGTGGGGGGGAAATTCGCGTTCAAAATCCAAATGTGTCTTGTCCTCTTCTCCCCCCCCCCCCCACCCGCAGTTACTACTATAGAGTCCGTAGATACTACTACTATAGTCCGTAGATACTACTACTGTAGTGCGGGGGGATGGTGGCCAAAGGTACTAGCTCTGCCGGCTGGGCAAGCTAGGCAAGGCCGGGGGCTCTGCACGGGACTAGGCCTCACCACGGCACTCTGTTAAGTTAGTATTATAGAGTCGCTATATACGACTATAGAGTAGGTAGATACCACTGTAGAGTAGGTAGATACTACTGTAGAGTTTGTAGTTACTGCTATTGTAGAGCGGAAGGTGGGTGGGGGGTGTAGCAGCCCAGCCCCAACCTGCCAAGGTGCCACCTTGGCCAACTGGGCAATCTTTGGGAGACCGGGGGCTCTGCACGGGACTAGGCCTCACCACGGCACTCTCTTGAGTAAGCAGATACTGCTATAGAGTAAACTGATACTGCTATAGAGTCCGCAGATACTACTGTAGCATTAGTAGTTACGACTATCGTCGATAGATACTACTATAGAGTTAATAGATACTACTATAGATTCAGTTGATACTGCTTTAGTCAGTAGTTACTACTAAAGTCGGTAGATATTACTATAGTCAGTAGATACTGCTATAATCAGCAGATACTGCTATAGTCAGCAGACATTATAAAGTTAATATTTACTACTATGGTCAGTTGATACTACTTTAGAGTCAATATTTACTACTGTAGAGTTAGTAGTTACTACTATAGAGTCAGTAGATACTACTGC